TCACACGAATTGTCTTCTAAATTAGCATGAAAGTTAAAATTTTTGGAGTCCATCTTAGTGCATCCTTTTATAGTGTTTGTTTTGTAGTATCTTTCGATAGATTTATAAATGTAATCTGAAGTTTTAGTTAGTAGCATGTCAGGTAGTTCAGGTAAATTTGCAGTAGTCATAGCAAATGAGAGGGGCTGACCACGACGATCGATAGCCACAAGATTATTCAGTAGTCCATTTTGCCAGTCAGTGTAGCTGAAATTTTCCATTTTAAAAGGAGGACCACCATGAGTTGATGTACGAACATGATGATTACTGTCACTATTGATTTCTTTTTCACCATTGCTATTAGACCAACCAATGTTAGTGCTTATGGAGAAAGTGGCTATGAATTTTGCTCCAACTGAAGCACCAATTTCAACAGAACTTTTTAAATATTGACTATTTTCAATAACATCTTGCGAAACAAAGCTAGTCTGATAGAGAGCACCACCTGTTTCAACACTCGTCACAACATGAGTCCCGTAATCCCTTACTATTAGATCGGAGAGATAATGAGCCATTTGAGTGTCATTGTTTTGAATGTGAGCAGCAAGATCCATCAATCTGGACTTAAAGGAAGGATGCAACTGGCTATCAGGATTAACGTGGACTGAATAAAGATGGTGCCTTATTCCAATTCTAACTGAACTTGATTTTGAGCTGGCCATTTTCTTTTTTGTATCCTGGTGCTCCATTGAGAATTTGCCACTAGCATGTGCACAGCCATAACTTGCACTAGCTTCAACATTAATGGAGTGACTTGATGAAGACGTGTATTCATTATAATGGCTGAAAACCTCTGCAGATGTATCAATCTCACTCTTAAGGACAGGAATCAAATTGATATTATCAGGCAGGAGGTAACGGCCATCATTAGAGATTTGACAACTGGAGTAATTCCTACTGTACACCTGGCCCAGTTCAATATTACGAAGGTTATCAAATCCAAGGCCAGGCATTGCATCCATTCTCAGTAGAGGTGATCCAGGATTAACTGTCTGCTCAGTTGGACAATTACGAATATCACCAACTGGATAAGAGGAAGATGCCCCATGAATAAGAAAGATGGAAAGCAATACAAAGCTAGCTGCAATGAAATCCCTCATCTTTAGCCTGTATTGAATCAAGATGAGCAGGAACAAGGGGTGGATTAGAAAAGAGGGTGCGTATGTGATTGTGAATGTCATTAGTTCTTATATAGACTACTATCAATGACAAAAGTGAGGATAGTATCAGTTGATACTGCATGTGCCATGCATGCACCTTTAAGAAAAACAGCAAATAGATTTACTCTTTAAAAAGCAGCAAAAACACACATTTAGCAAGCAGAAAAATTACAGTAGAACACACAGTATAATAATAGTTTTTCAGTCTTGCAGCTTTTGGACCAGGACAGCTGTCTCATTCTCTCCGGTTTCAGACTTATCCAAGTAGAGCACTGCCTCCTTCCTGGCTATACGCTTCTTCTTATACTTCTTAACACCACAACCAACAGCAGCAATAAATGCAATGCACAACGCGGTAGAGAAAACTGATCCTATAACAAAACCAGCTACCTCAGCACCAGTAAAACTGGGAGTACGCATAGAGCCATCATAAGTAGAGCCTATTACTGTTCCATTATCATCAGTCACATTGTGTGGCTCAGAAGTGAATGTCCAAATATACTCATTATCATTGATCATATCACCAGCTTTGTGTTTAGACCATGTACCATCATCACCTTTGGTCCACACTGTACCATAAGGACCAACAATGATCATGGACTCGGACTGATTGACAGTCATTGGTGGCCTGATCTTATAAGGTGGCAGTATTGGGGGCTGGGAGGTATACTTGAGAATAAAGTCTACATTTGAGCAGTAGTTGACAATGCAGCCTTCATCAACAGTTACTAGGAACTGGTTATATCGCTCAGGACACTGTAGAGGGAATGAGGAACCCTTTTCATACTGGGCAGGAGAAAGAGACAGAGGATTCCCAGAGCTACAACTGTGGAAACCGCCGAATGGAAGAGCATAAGACATACCCTGAATATCACTGCTGACACACACTTGAATGTCCTGCCCGAAATGAAGAGGAGAGAAGAAAGGAGGGCAGGTGCTAGTTCCAGTAACTGCGTTAGTGTGCTTCCCAGAATAAACACCACCAAACATGTAGCCAGAGTCAGGAGGGACTGTCTCACCAGGTGGATAGTAGCACCAGTAAGCATAACTGACAACATTAACCTGACGGCTCGGACGTGTGACAGGACCAAAAGCCACAATGATTATGCAGTAGATTGAGTGTGAGCATTGCAAATAATTTGAGTATCTAGATCTACATGATGCATGAAATCAAAAATAAATGCAAATGGTTTTATTGCAATCTCATTTAGTTTCAACTAGTAGTTTTATGCATGACTAAAGTTGCTGACCTGATCGTCTGACGGCTCCAGGAGAACAGTACAGTACTGCGTACCGAAACCAGTGGAAAGATAATGCTTCACTATTCTCCCAGTAGTGGTAGACATTGCAAAACCAACGCTGTCTCCCTAAAAGGCAGGGTTGAAGCCAGAGATGGGAGCCTACAGAGGTGTCAACTCACTGTTCTTATGTATATACAGGAGTCCACATTGTCTGAAGTGAAGAGGCCCCACTGGGATGGTCAGTGTTGCCTGTGCTTCTATGCATTCTCTCTCAGAGCAGAAAGAACAACAACAACTAGCCCCACTGAGCTTTGTGAGCCTGGCATCTTATTTATGAGTGATCATGTAATTAATTATTGAAGTTCAAATTTATAGGAATGAAAACAAAAAAAGAAGGTAGCAAAAATTCAAATTAGCAAGCAAAAATAAGCTAGACTATTAATAAAAAGCAAAAAAGCATAAAAATTAAGCAGCAAGTCTAGACTAAAATGTCAGCAAACAAGCAAGCAGCAAAAATATTTAAGCACACAATAAGCTAAACTAATCTTGGTCTTGCAATTTTTGGACCAGGACAGCTGTCTCATTCCCTCCAGTTTCACACTTATCCCAGTAGAGTACTGCCTCCTTCCTGGCTATACGCTTCTTCTTATACTTCTTAATACCACAACCAACAGCAGCAATAAATGCAAGGCACAGTGCAGTAGAGAAAAATGATCCTATAACGATTCCAGCTACCTCACCACCAGTATAATAGCTGTGGCTTGGACTGGACGTAGTATCATCACTCACCGTGGCATTATTAGGTGGTAGCTCAGGTGGTATAACTATATCATCTTCCTTGACAAATAAAGATTGGAAATAATCGGGCCCACTGACACTGTCATTTTTATACTCAAACCAACTACCATCATCATCTTTAACCCATATTTTACCATAAGGGCCAAAGATAACCAGCGATTCTGTTTTATTGACTGTCATTGGTGGCTTCATTTTATATGGTGGTACTAGTGGAGGCCTTGGTGAAAACTGTATGATGTCCTGAAACTGGGAGCAATAGTTCACAACACAACCTTCATCAATTGTTACCAAGAATTGATTGTAATGGTGAGAGCACTCTGTAGGAAAAGATGAACCAAAATATTGGAGTTGATTGCTTGATAAATTTTTATACATGTCTGGTGTAATAGCCAGTGGATTTCCAGACTTGCAGCTATGAAAACCACCAAACGGTATTGCATAGTCTTCTGCTTGAGCATCAGTGCTGACACAAACTTTGATATCCTCACCAAAATGAAGAGTATTATAAAAAGGTGGACAAGTGGTGGTACGGGTGACTGGATTGGGGGTTTTACTGGTGTATAGACCACCAAACATGTATCCTGAATCAGCACCTTCTTGCTTACCAGGAGGAGCATAACACCAGTAAGCATTATAAGTAGAGTAGCGCATCTCTGAACGTTGACTACTTGCAGTTTGCATCTTACAGTCAAATATGTGTAACTTACAGTGCTTTTTTTGGTAATAATAAGTAACTTGTACCATTTGCT